CTGTACCCCGAAGAAACACTCCAGGCTCTGCGTAAGCCCTGGGGGTGGACGTCCTGCACCATTCCACAGAGATGGTGAGATGGGAATGGAATCCTGGTTCAGCAGAGGAGGGCAAGGGTCTGCTGCGATGGCCTTTGAAAGCCCCTCCACTGGCACTCGGTGAAGAGCTGGGCACATGGGGCTGGCACCCAGAGCCCCGTTGTTGGGTGCTGGGAACGGTTRATACTTCCTGGGTCTCTCCCAAATCAGATACGAGACTGAAAGAGCGGCTTCACCTATCTTAGCCAGAGTGGCCGACCCTCCAGGATCTCSGGGCTGCAGTTGGCCCTAGACAGCCTGCTCTGGGGCTTGCAGGAGAGCCAGCCCACTTCTGGTTACTGATCAACCTGCCAGAAGCTGCCAGTCTCCACTCACGGGACTCACGGGCCATTGACTACACATTGTTATTGTTTTGATCGGGTCCTGCCCTCCTGGAGTGTTTGCATGCCCCCCCCCCCCCCGCCCCCCAGTCAGAACCACCATCTTCCACAAGAGGAAACTGAGGCCCAGAGAGGACAGGAGGCTGGCAGTGCTCGGAGGCCGCTTCTGTGGCTTTGTGCCCCGGGTCCCTCCACTATCAAAAGGGAACGTTAGTCTGCAGGACTGCAAAAGCCCAAAGTGCCGTGGGGTAGGGGCTACGACGCTGACCTAGGGCGGACCAAGGAAAGGTGAGTCTGGATCTTTGGGGTCAAGGACCAGAAAACGGTGGGGACTGCCCCTGGCTGAGGACCCCTCCAGGCCACAGAGTGTCTCTGGTTGGGAGAAAGGAACAGGCTGAAATCTTCACTAGAGCGCTGGAGTAGGGTCGGCTCTTGCTGGGCCTCAGTACTGCGCCCCAATTTTGGCGCCCCCTTGCTCCCTTCGGTCCCCACCTACAGCCCTGCGACCCACCTGCCGGCTCCCCGTGCTGCGGGCGGGGTCCTCTGCTGCCCTCTGGCGGCCGGAGAGTGCAGCGCGGGCCTCAGCTCAGGAAGCCTGCAAAAGCCACCACCGCTGGGCCACTACCCCCAAGGAACAAGCGCTCGCCCCAGGGGAAGGGTCTGGCGTTAGGGGCTCTCACCCGAAGCCCGAAAACGCTGCTCTTGCTGGATTATTGTCGTTATTTTCGGGGGAAACTGAGGCCTAAAGAAAAACTAAGTGTATGTGCGGGGGTGTTGGGGGTCCTAGCCCGAAGTCACCAAGTCAGGCACAGCCAGGACCAGGACCAGGACGCCCCTTGCAGCCGCTGTGCCCTGTGCGGTGGGTTCGCGCGCCCTTAGCCCCCAGCCCGGACTCGGTTTCCTTCGCGCGCCCACTGGGCAGCAGCAGTGCAGCTGCTGAGGTCGCGGGCAGGAGCGGGTGCGGGGAAGCAGAGGAGGGCGCCCGCGGGGCGTGACGCACTGAGGCTGGGAGGGCGCAGGGTGGCGCGGGGCGGGGCGGCCCCCACCGGCTGCATATAAAGGCGGCGGCGGGAGGAGCAGAGCCAGAGCGAGCTGCCTGTGTTCGAGAGTTAGCCTGAGTCGGAGCCCTGTCCGGAGCCCTGTCCTGAGCCCTATCCTGAGCCGGAGACGATCTGCAGGCGAGTTGAGCCCGAGCAGAGTCCCCTGCCGCTCCGGCGTGTCCACCCTCACGCCCTCGGTAGCCCTCAGCACTTCTCTCGGCCCCGCATCCGCCCTGCGGCCCCTCCACCCAATGAAACTGGCGGCGATGATCAAGAAGATGTGTCCGACCGACTCGGAGCTGAGTATCCCGGCCAAGAACTGCTACCGTATGGTCATCCTCGGTTCGTCCAAGGTAGGCAAGACGGCCATCGTGTCGCGCTTYCTCACCGGGCGCTTCGAGGATGCCTACACCCCCACGATCGAGGACTTCCACCGCAAGTTCTACTCCATCCGCGGCGAGGTCTACCAGCTCGACATCCTGGACACGTCCGGCAACCACCCGTTCCCAGCCATGCGGCGCCTCTCCATCCTCACAGGTGAGCTGCGGGGAGCCGGAGCGGACGGCGGGCGCGGGCGCGGGCGGGAGGGCGTGGAGACCCGTCCAGGCTAACCTGCGAGGGCGGGCTGGTGGCGCGGGCGGGCGGGCGGGCGGGCGGGTCCCACTTCTGAGCGCTGAGCTTTGCGCTTAAGCGCACCGCGCGCCTCGCGCGGCTGCGGGAGCCCCTTGGCAGCCGCCCTCACCTCTCCGTCCCTTGTCCCCGCTCTGCAGGAGACGTTTTCATCCTGGTGTTCAGCCTGGACAACCGCGACTCCTTCGAGGAGGTGCAGAGGCTCAAGCAGCAGATCTTGGACACCAAGTCTTGTCTCAAGAACAAAACTAAGGAGAACGTGGACGTGCCCCTGGTCATCTGCGGGAACAAGGGGGACCGGGACTTCTACCGCGAGGTGGGGCAGCGCGAGATCGAGCAGCTGGTGGGCGACGACCCCCAGCGCTGCGCCTACTTCGAGATTTCAGCCAAGAAGAACAGCAGCCTAGACCAGATGTTCCGCGCGCTCTTCGCCATGGCCAAGCTGCCGAGCGAGATGAGCCCCGACCTGCACCGCAAGGTGTCGGTGCAGTACTGCGACGTGCTGCACAAAAAGGCGCTGCGGAACAAGAAGCTGCTGCGGGCCGGCAGCGGGGGCGGCGGCGACCCGGGGGACGCCTTCGGCATCGTGGCGCCCTTCGCGCGCAGGCCCAGCGTGCACAGCGACCTCATGTACATCCGCGAGAAGGCCAGCGGCGGCGGCCAGGCCAAGGACAAGGAGCGCTGCGTCATTAGCTAGGAGCCCCCCACCGCGCCGGCGACACAATCCAAGGAGGACTTTTTTTGTGTAAGTCAAATTCGACGCCTGGGCCAGCCTGGGCGCGCCCCGGGCCGCGAGTGCACGCGGACTGGTGTCTTCCCTTCGCGAAACCCGGCCTCGMGCACTGTGAAGGCGCCACCAAACAGAGAAGGGACGGTCATCTGCTCCGGAAGGAAGGAGAACTGGCAAAGACCTGGACTCCCCCACCTTTGAGCCTCTCTGTTGGCGTCTCCCACCCTCACAACGTGGATGGTGGCCCAGCAGAGGGGGCATTTGTCGGTTTTTTTTAACCAGAGACCAGAGAGTAGGGAGGGGGTGAAGTTCACCAGCCACTGTTGGGCATCAAGTGACCGGTCCTGCCGGGCTTTAGCCTGAGGGTCAGGACCCTGGGGGCATTATCTTGTCTGTGATTCCCCATTGCTGGTAACAGCTGGCAAAGGCCTCTGTCCTCCAGAAAAAACTGTCGGGGGTKCGTGGGTCAAGTCATAGCCAAGAGACTTGTTTACATGTGTGTGTGTGAAGTTGCACAAAGGAAAAACAAAACAGAAACCTTGCACTTTAATAGTAGTTCCGCTGTCAACATGGACATGAACAAAATCTTATCCAGGTGTTTATACTGTGTGTGTGTGAAACTCTAAAGTTATTGTTGTTTTTTAATATAAAATAAAATAATTTAACATGGAAAACGCGGCTTTCTTTGCTTCTAGAAGGGGTTGGGGGAGAAGGGAGGAGGCTGGGTTTCAGCTGCCATGACTTTGGACATCACCTTCTCCAGAACAGGAAAATAACCCTGCCCTTCTGGAAACAGCTTCAAGCCTCATGGGGGAGGAAACCAAAAAAACTTCCATTTGAAGGGGCTTCTAGAAAATCAGGACAGACAAGGATTTCAGGGATCCCCTTAAAAAATCTTTCTAGCCATCTACCTGCTTATTCTCCTTTGGCCCAGTCACCTTGGGCCTGGTGTTCTGAGTGAACACTCTGATTTCCTCTTCTGTAGAACTGATTTCTCACTCATCACAGGGCAGACCCAAGCTACAGAAGCTGGTCAAACTTGAAATGCAGACTGTTTGACACTCGGGCCTGGCTGTCACAAGTAAGAAAATGGAACCAGAGAGACCCATGGGGAGCAGGCTTGTGCTGGACCCTTGTCCTCTTGCCCCAGGGTTACATGACTAGAGATAGTTAAGATCCCCACCGCCTCCAGCAGACCTCTGCATCTTGCTGTGTCCCTCAGTGGTTAAGGCCATCTGCTTGTAACTCGTGACCCAGCTCTGTGTAAGCTTGAAGCAAGTGACACCTGCTAAAGCTCAGATTCATCACCTGAGAAACACAGAGAAGGCCCTCCACATGGAGTAGCTGTGGGGATTCAATGTGACACAAGTAGCACAAGTGCCTGCCACCCAGTAACCCACACAACTGGTGGCTTCTTAGAGGGTGCTCAGCTCCCTGTGAAGGAGACTCAAAACTGTCCTAGGGAAGGGACTTCGGCCCTGCTCTGGTGAGGGCCACTCCCTGCTAGTACTAGACCTCCTCAAATTACCAAAAGTTACCAAACAACCCCCCCCCACCTCCCTGGGAGGAGGGATGGCCCAGAGGTGGCTCACACAGGCCACCTGTGGGACAGATGCTGCTCGTGAGGAAGAGCTCTTCTTCTTCTCCTTCTTCTTTTTTGGTACTGGAGATTGAAACCAGGGTACCTTACCACTGAGCTACATCCCCAGATCTTTTTTTATTTATCTTGAGACAGGTCTTATGAAGTTGCCCTGGATGGCCATCTGTCTCTCAGCCTCCAGAGTAATTGGGATTACAGGCAAGTACCACTGTGCCCAGCAATTACTGTTTTTATGTTGTTTAACTGCACTACAAGGAGAGGGGCAAGGAGCAGAGGGTGTTCACATTTTATTCTTTGTCTCAGCAAAGTGAATACTTTCCTCTCAACTATGCAAGATACACCATGAATTCCTGGGCATAAAAAACCATGATCCCCTGGGTTTGACCCCCCAGCACTGCAAAAGCAAACACAAAAAACCAGGGTGTCCCGGCAATAGAGCAATAAGTACTTTTAATCATACATTGGAAAAATATCACAAGTCAAATCATGGAAAACAGAGAAGTTCATTTCCCCCCCACACACCATCTCCATTTCAGACTCCAGAACGGCCCTGAAGGTCTTGCATTTTTACATGCTTCATGTTTCAAGGTATTTGGTCAGAGCCTTAAAACTGGCCCACTTGCTACTCTGAAACTTTAAGAATAACTGATGCAGTTAAATAACAGTCCCAAGATAGAACTGGTGCAATAGGTGGCCACCCACTTAAACTCAGAGCCTACTCTTCTGGCCAAAGCCTGTCTTTGAAACCTGATATCCTCCTCTGCACAGTCCCAGGTTCCCAATAGGCCAGCCATCTTCTGACAGGTGCCTGCAGGCTGACAGCACTAGAACCCCTGCTGAAAACATCTCCAACCAGTACGTCTGCCAATGAGGCCAGTCAACGGGCACCTGCTAAGCCCCTGAGCTGGTCAGCAGATTATGTGCCCATTTCTAGATGCAATCAATATTCAGTTACTTCTCACCTCACTCTTAAGAGTCAGGGGAAGAACTGCTGTCATACCCCCTGCAGAGAAGGGGAGAGCACACATAGTGTCCCATCAGAAAAAAATCATGGAGCTGGGGGAGTGAGGGCTGTTTATAAACATGTAAGAACTAGAACTTGGCCTTGTAACTTCTAGACCTAGCCCGCCCATCCCATCAGAACCCATCCCGAACTCCCTTGTCACACCTGGCTGAGGGGACATCCCAATTGCCACTAAGAGCCCCCTTCTCAACAAAAAGTGCACTGTGAACCCTTTTGTTTGCAGGACAGCCAACAGGGCTGTCTGTGGTGAGAAGCCCAGAGGGGAAATAATGGTCTGAGCTGGGGCAATGGGTATCACAGGGAGATCTGCTCTGGGATCTAAAACTCTATTTGAGCCTGCCAGCCAAGGTCCGGCCCTCTCCATCCCCGAGGAGGCACTGTGGCTATGGAAAGTTGGCTCTTCTCCATCACTAACTGAAGGTGACAGAAGACATGGCAGCAAGAGCCAAATGGAAAGGAAGAGGGAGCCTGGAGTCAGGGGCAGCCTGGGGTGGGGGGGCTCTGAGGGGACACCTCCRCTCACTGGCTCAAACATAAAAGGAACCAAACTGTTTTGGAGAGGGGAGAGAAAGCCACCCACCCTCTGGCCTTTGAGAACAAGGCTCATTCTCTCACAGTCTTCTTTAATCATATTAAATCCATGCCATATGAGTACAGGCCTAATTTGTCCAGTGAATTCTATGCAAATGTTTCACCAAACGGCTGCTAACTGGAACAATATGTACCTGGTACATGCTGATTGTATCGGAGGTGGGAGGAGCGGGAGGGCAGGAAGCAAGAAGGAGCCGCCTCCTTCCTACTGTGCTCTTCAGATCTGCAGGAGGGACCCAGACACACAGCAGATGGCCCCTCCCCAGTGCAGGGCAGCCCTTCCCCCCTGCCTCAGGACTCCTCTGGCTTCCAGTGGCAGACGCTCAAGTCAGCATGCCTTAGCCACATGGGTATGTACAGCCTGTGGCTGGTGAGGCCGGGCTCAGAGCTGGAGTCCAGAGGAAATGTGGGCAAGGAAGCCGGCTGCCTCCCCTGCCTTCCCCTGGGTCCTGGACACTGGCGGCCTCTACTCCTTGGGGATCTCAAACATGCAGAGGCTCTTGTACTTCTGCAGGAGCTCGTTCTTGGTCCTGACCTGCTCCCGGAGGCTGTGCAGCTGCTGCTGCTGCTGCTCAGGGCTCAGGTGGATGCCCGGCATGGTGCTGATGAGCTTCCGCATCTCCTGGAACTTGGTTTTGAGGGCATTCAGGTCCTGGTGGACATCTGGGCTGTCCTTGTCCATGCTGTGGAGGGCAGAAGACAGTCATTAGCACTCACAGTTCACACCCACACCTGGCTTCCCTGGGCTGCATCCTACGATATTTTTTTGAACACTTGTGTGATGTGTCTGTTGACCCAATGAGGCCGAGCACCCCAGAAGGCAGGGACCAGTTCTCTCTTACAACACCCCCTTGTCCAGCACACTCCTGCTCTTCAGTCCACCACCGGCCCTCATCCACAGTTGTCTCCCCTCCCTGACCACTGGACCCCACAGGCTCTCAAGAAGTATTTGTTGAAATGCATGCTTGGYAAATAAGTTCACAAATTTATGTTGAACAAATAAACCATTACCAATCATCAACTGATTCATGTCAAACCAAAATGCTGATATACCACATTTTGTCTAACTTGAGCCATTTCTAGCCAATCGGAGACTTTGCAGCTAGTAACAGCTAATGTTAGCCAAGATTTGATGCTCACTTGAACCTGTTAATATAAAGACTAATTTCCACAGAGCTATTCATACATTTTACATCAGTTATAAATACTGGAAATTTTCAGCAGATTCAGGCTTTCTCCTACCACAGCAATGCAAACTCCTGGCCCTCAGGGTCAAGCTCATTTTGAAGGCTGATCGTTCACTTCATCTCCCAGCTATTATTGGTTGCACAGAGACCCACCTTCCCTGTCACTACTAAATTAAAGCAAAACAAGGATGAAAACCCTCAACTTATATCAGAGAAATGGCCCACCAGTGGCACCTATGCATTTCCCAGAAGTTAGTGGATGAGTTTTGGCAAAAGCAATTGAGACTAAAAACGAAACGCCAATTCCATAAGCTGTTCTCTAAAAGGAAGACACAGACGCGTGGGGGAAACTGTCAATGATCATGTATTTTTTAATAAACATTCATCCCTGGTGGGGAATTTCAACCCAGATGGTGCTAATTCATGTTTATTATTCATCATTTCTCTGCTTACGCAGACAGAATACCTATCTTTCCTGCAGATCCACCAGCTACTTCTCACACCTTGCGAATCAGACGGCCACCAGGATCTGCTCATTATTTATCAACAGGTCTAAATTCAGGTGAAACTTAGAGAATCAATCATCTCTATTAGGGAATGAGTGGCCAAGCCAATGTTTCTTGCTGTCGTTAGATGCCCTCAGTTTAGAAATTTAGAGCTAGTGTCCTGAGCTCTCCCCTGCTCCTAGACCTTAATTCAGCTGCTAGGGAGGGGTAACTGGAGCTCATCAGGACGGCAAATGGTTTGGAAGGAAGCAAACAGGGAGCAATACTCTTCTGTGGTGCTGGGGATGGAATCCAGGGCCTCCTGCAAGCTAGGCAAGCACTCTACCACTCAACTATACTCCCAGCCAGGGAGCATCTTTTAACTCTCAGCTCAAATCCACAATCCAGATAGAAACCATCTGGAATCTTGAAAGCATTATACTTGGATGGCATGTGAGCTAACACACTGTTACGAATTTAAGTCCCAAGGAAATTTTGAAATTAAAATTCAGCTTTAAGAAAACTGATTCACATCACATAAAACTTTCCAAAACAGTAAAAACAAAACAAATTAAAAATACATGAGATTAAAATGTGGAAGAAAGTTATGGTAATCCAGTTGTTGAAGCCAAACTAAGCTTTAGGGCCTAATCTGGCCCAAAAGAAAATTCTGAAGTGGGCCATGTTTAAGATGCTTATTTCTGAAAACCCCCAAATCTCCAGAGTTTCCCATATTTTATCCAGTAAACTTATCGGAGAGGAGAAGGTCTTCAGAAAAAGCTGCCTAGAGGGGAGCGGAGCTGAAAGAGGGCCCCTCTGTGAGCTGCTCACCTGCCCTAGTTGGTGCAGTAAATAGCACACAAGTCCTGGGGCGAGGAAAACACGCTATTCACATGCTATTATTCGAGAACTGGCTCGAACCAAGTGGGAACCTGCCAAGCCAGAATGACTGTGAAATACCCAGGCCCAAAGAAAAGGAGCAGGCCCAAATATCGAGTGAATAAAAGCAGAAAGCTCTAAGTGGGCCTGCCTTTGTCCTCAATGTTAGTCATCATCCAACTTTAGAAGGTTAAAAAAAAGAGAGAGCGAGACTAGGTCAAGAAGGATAATAATCACACAAACAAGGGCAAAGTCGGGGCACTTTGGTCCCACCTACTATGCTTTTTAAAGGAGCGGACAAAAATATTACGCTGAGGTGGTACTCGGAGTGTCCTTCCAGCAGGCCACAGAGATACCTGGATATGTATCTCCAAACGCATAAAAACCACAGGTTTAGGTGGACACTTTTAAGAATCACAACTTCATTTTCTTTGTTCTTTGATTTCTTTTATAGCACAGATGCAAAAGAGCAACAACAGGATAGTGTGTCCACTGGCAAGTTAGAAGCAAAAGAAATCCATGGTATCAACTGAAGCCAACCTCCTCTCAAACTTGATGGTCACTTCTTTTGACCTCTGGGTGGCATGTGACCTGGTTTCTCCTATCCTCCTTCAAAACCTCCATCACCCTCAGCTACACAACCCTGCCTTGTTCCAGTGGCTCCACTGTGGACCAGTGTCCTGAGCTCTCCTCTGCTCCAGCCTCTCCTCCTACTACGTTAACTTCGGTAGCTTCATCCTTCCAAAACTTTTATGTATTTTTTTAATATTAATAAGTGCTTGAAGGAAAAAATTCAAAAGTGATAGGCACAAAGACTTAGAAAAAGGAAACYCCTTTAATCTCATGTCCCAGAGGTAACCTGTGTTGGTAGGTAATGCATACTATTTCAGATCACTTTAAAACRCAGTATAAAAATACGCGCATACCCTTCTTCTGTACTTTGACAGAAATGTGGCCATAGTTGGTTCTATTCCCCCCCCCCACTTAACAATGCACCTTTGGAGATCTTTCTGTATTAACATATATAAATTATATAATATATAAATTATACAGCTAAATTATTTGTTGATGTGTTTGGAATGCCTGCAATTTATCAGAATGGCAATGAGCACTTTATACCTACACCTTTATGTATTGTGCAAGTATTTTGGTAAGATAATTTCCCACCAGTGAAAAATCTGGGTCAAAAGTTCTGTAATTTTTGACAAATATCACCAAACTGCCCTCTCAGCTGGGTGAGGTGGTATACCGGTAATCCCCGCTACTGGGGGTAGGGGACTGACCTGGAGGATGGAAAGTTCAAGACCAGCCTGGGCAACTTGGACTCCATGTCAAAGAAAAAAATACAACAAAACAACCCCCAGAAAAGCTGTAATGACGTACACTCCCTGCACACCATCCTCCTGGTGTGCTGGCTGTTCCTTCCCTAGCAGCTGTGTTCCTCTGCCCCAGTTTGGCCAGCCCCCAAACAGCCCTGGAGCCTCACACTCCTGCTTCATGTTGCATTCTCTTCAGGGAGTAACAACAAAAGGTTCTGCTGCTGAAAAAGGTTTTTTTGGAAAAAAAGCTGCTCTACCAAATGCCCTTGGACTTGATAGCCACTCCCAGCTCTGTGGATGCAGAGAGCACCTCCTGCCAGCCCTCCTACCTGCCTCTGGCTTGCTCCTTCCCGTTGTCATTGATGATCTCCTCCCTGGAGTCTGGGAACCCATAACATCCAAAGTGGGCCACACCCATGCCACTGGTGAACTCGAGGCTGTCCTCTCAGACTTGCTCTGTGTCCCCCCACTCTACCTTCCAGAGACCCTGCAGACTGCCCACTGCCACTGCCTTCCTRGACACTGAGCCCTCCCCTCCATGCCCTCTGCCTCACCTACCTGCATAGATCACTGCTGCTTAAAAATTCCAGCTGGCCCTCAGCTCCCAGAAAACACCCACTGGGCAAGTTTGAACTGTGAGGGGGCCACCACTGCTACCCACAAGTGCCTCTAGCCTTCCAGGCTCAAGGCTCGCCTTCCCACTCTTCCCAGAACTGCCCCTCCCYTTTGCCCCCAGCATTTCTCCCACTGTGCTAAGTAAGCGCTGGCCAGGAAGGCTGACTTCATGGGGCCTGCGGTCTTCTGGGTCAGTGATATCAAARGGACAGAAATGAAGTGGCAGAGGAGTGAAGAGGCTTCAAGCTGGCCAGGAAGCAGCTCTTCCGAGCAGGACCCAACCCTTTCTGTCTGAGCACTCATCCTCTTCCCTGGGACAGGGCTGAAGGACAAGGGTGTGAAGCACAGGCTGCAGGAGCTGCGCCCAGACCTTGCTGGTGTGGGCGTGCCCTGCTCCTCTGCATAAGTGTGGAGGGGCCATGGCTCAGCCCTGGAGCAGGCCTCAGCTGGTGTGGAGGGTGGGAGGATCAAAACAGACCTTGTGTGGGAAGAGGCAGGTCAATAACACYGTGTTCCCATGGAGGAGGTTCTGCTGGGGCTCTGAGGTCTCGCTGACCTGCCACTCCAAAAGGACTTGTTTCAAAAGCTTGGTCAGCTGGGAGGGACAGCTTGGTGTGCCATCACTTGAATTCCCTCTGTGGGGTCAAGGATGGCTCCCCTGTACCCACCTAGCAACCTCAGACATTTTAAAGGAAAATGTTTGAAAGTACCCCTAACGACTGACTACTCTAACTGGGTGGGCTGAACCCGCAAGCAGGCAGGACCAGCACAACTCAGAATTCCTAGGCTGGGACACACAGTTCCAGACTCAGATGAGATTTGGTAAATTTAAAGGAAAAGTCATTGTATCTTTCCCTGGTCTCACTTATCTCATTTCTTGCTTCTTTTACTATGTATCTCCTTTTATTATAGAGCTTTTATATATACAGAGAAAGGTCTCAAAAGACTTGGTATTTATATTTCTTATACGCATTATTCTTCTTTTTATCTATTTTTGGTGCTTGTTTTYCAGTACTGGGGACTGAACTTGGGCATTCTARCACTGTCTTATAGGGATAGAGCCTCTTTAAATTTTTATTTTGACACAGGGTCTCACTAAATTGCTGAAGTTGGGACTCTCCTGCCTCAGCCTCCTGAATTGCTGGGATTACTGGCATGTGCCACTGATTCTGGCTCCTTATTCTTTAAAAATAAAATA